ACTCCCTGGAGGCCTCGCCCCTCTCCTCGGAGGTGCCAGGTGGCATCTTCAGCATTGACCCTGACTCTGGGGACGTGTCGGTGCAGGCAGTGCTGGACCGTGAGCAACGCGACACCTACGAGTTCCAGGTGACGGCCCGGGACAAGGGGATGCCATCGCTGCAAGGCTCCACCACTGTGGTGGTACGGGTGGCAGATCGCAACGACAACGAGCCGCGCTTCATGCAGGACGTGTTCACTTTCTACGTGAAGGAGAACCTGCAGCCCAACAGTCCTGTGGGCATGGTGACTGTGATGGACTTTGACAAGGGCCGCAATGCCGAGCTCAGCCTCTCCATCGACCATGACCAGGCAGCTGGCATATTCTCTATCGAAAATGACACCGGAACCATTTTCTCCACTGTCTCTTTTGACCGGGAGCAGCAGACCAGCTACACTTTTAAGGTGAAGGCAGTGGATGGAGGAGAGCCACCACGCTCTGCCACCGCCACCGTGTCCCTCTTTGTGATGGACGAGAACGACAATGCGCCCACGGTCACCTTCCCCAGCAACAGCTCCTACACTGTGCTGCCACCCTCCAGCAACATGCGCACTGTGGTGGCCACAGTGGTTGCCACAGATGCTGACACTGGTCTCAACGCTGACCTCAACTACAGCATTGTCGGGGGCAACCCCTTCAAACTCTTTGAGATTGACCCAGCCAGTGGCGTAGTGTCACTGGTGGGCAAGCTGGCCCCCAAGCACTACGGCCTGCACCGCCTTGTGGTGCAGGTGAACGACAGTGGGCAGCCACCCCAGTCCACCACTGCCTTGCTGCACGTCTTCGTCAACGAGAGCTTGTCTAACGCCACCATGGTGGAGAGTCAGGTGTCCCGCAGCCTCCACACGCCCCTGGCCCAGGACATCGCCGGAGACCCCAGCTACGAGCTGAGCAAGCAGCGGCTTAGCATAGTTATCGGTGTGGTGGCTGGCATCATGACTGTCATCCTCCTCATCCTGGTGGTGGTCATGGCCCGCTACTGCCGCTCCAAGGGCAAACATGGCTATGAGGCCGGCAAGAAGGACCATGAGGATTTCTTCACCCCACAGCAGCATGACAAGGCCAAGAAACCCAAGAAGGACAAAAAAGGCAAGAAGGGCAAACAGCCCCTCTACAGCAGCATCGTCACTGTTGAGGCTTCCAAGCCCAACGGGCAGCGCTACGACAGTGTCAATGAGAAGC